TATGCCTAGTTTGGGATCAGCGCTGACACAACTTGGGTCGAGCAAGATGCACGTCCTGGAGCATCATACAATGTCTTCATGAGATGATGGTGAGCTATCAAAGGGTTAGAATGTAGATTCACAGATTCCCTCACTTTTCCCGACCGTACCTCGTCCGGATCGTCAGTACTTCATCAGAAGCTTGCTTAGTGCAGCTTGCATGTCCAAAGGAGAATGTCCTTCCCCATCATGATCCTCCCCCACCATGCTCCTCCCTCCCTCCCTCCCTCCCTCCCTCCCTCCCTCCCTCCCTCCCTCCCTCCCTCCCTCCCTTCCCTCACCCTCTTTCACCCTGTGAGAGGAGATGGAATACTCTGCATTGATCGCTGACATTTTCTTCAACAGTTGGCTGATATTTTTGACGATCTTGGTACCCAGAATATTATTTATGTGAGCGAAAAGAAGATGTGCTTGACTCATTCTAAACTCTCATTCAGATTGGACTTGGAGTCACAGTTGTGTCTATCATAGTTATGCTGGTTATTTTGTATCAGGATGGTGTAAGGTAAGCATCACTGGTACCTTTCATGAGCTGGCCATGGATCAGGTTGGTGAAAAGTAAGAGTATGCAAGGCGAAATGAAAATGGATGAACCAGAAACTTCTTAAGAATACACTGAATGTGAAGAGTAATGATTCACACAGTGCCGTGAAAATCTCAATTTATTTGTTTCACGACGAGGGTTTGAATTTTGACCCCATTGCCTGCCCGCCGAGTCCTATTTCTTACATCGATTCTCGCACTCCAAGAAGGGATAAGAACTGAGGTCATGCTTCACATACCTCGTTCCTCCGATGACCTGCAATGATACGTAAGGCGTGGTTGCCATCAATGTAGCCAGTAGTGAATGCAGATTACGCAATGAGGGCACCAATATGAACCTAACAGGAGGCACAGCGATCTTCACATATTCTCACCCTCTCAGGGAGTTCATCCTCAGCTTGTCCCTCCAACAGAACAACCAAATCGCATACAATCGCTTTGCATGCAGATTTGACCACCTGTTGAGTCCAAAATGCGTTACTACACCTGAGAGTATCAAGACACGGTCTACCATACCTTGACAATGGCTGAAGCAGCAAGAGAAGAATTCACATCGCATGTACACTCAATCATATCACTCGTCTGTTGGTAGTAACATGACAGCTTATTTCCTGAAGAAGACTTCAAATTTGACCCATGGAAACAAACTGAACAGGCTCAAATGTAAAGTACCTATCAGTGCCGGTACTGGTTTTCCGATAGTTTTCTTCACAACCTGCATCCATAAGAATCAATAATTCAACCATGGTGTGAAGTCAAATGATGACTACCCAGTTCGCATCCACCACTGACGTGATAAGCTTTAATCGTTTGTTCTTGTACTCATCATTGCCGTCAAGGAACCGTTTGAAGCATGTAGCGAACGGTTTGTCGGACTCCAAAACCCCCTTCTTGAGCTCAAAGATCATCACTGTATGCATCGGCCGAAGATCAAAATGCATGACAAAAATGAAATCCTTTCTGCCAGCTGCTCTTGCCCGGTTGTAATATGAATCGGATCTGTCCATTGAAAAGCGACAGATCTCATTGGTTGAAAACCCTGACAATTCCACGAGATCAAATGCAGATTCTTGTGAAGGGTACTTAATCTTATCCTTCAGATAATTGCCTCCACGAACATTGAACAAGGTAGCATCGATTGCCTCGAAAGAAGTAGAGTCTAGCCCAAATTGTATTGTGTGAACAGCAGCTGGAACACCCGTGGCTTTGATTGGGATGGGGTTTGCTTTCTTCGGTTCTCCAACACCCTGCGAGTTCTTTTCATTCTGTGAATTTTCTCGTGATAAGCTCCCATGCTCACTCCCATTCATGGTTTGGTTGTATTTGAAAGTATTCCCGGAAGTCTCGAACCAAAGTTCTGCAGATTACAAAGGATCCCTAGAAGAGACTCTCACGGGGCAAAAGAAGACGAAGAGTCCACCCTGATCGCCTGCTCAAGCCGATAGACCTGATAGATTGAGTGTTGGATTCAAGTTTTCCAACGCTACAAGGTTCAATCAAAAGCTGGTGTTAATAATCCCGGCAGATTTCTTTGGATGCACTCATGCAAATGAAGCAAACCACAGGAATTTCAGTCTCACAAAAAGCAATCTAGAACAAGCTGAGCACCGAAGAGAACCTGGCGTATACGAACACGTCGGAGATCGATAGTAGGCCTCCGTTACACCAGGGAGGATTTTCAGCCTCGCTAGTCTCAGCACAAACCGATGGGCACCGAGGCAGGAGCGAAGCTCTCTGAGTGTTGGATGAAGAGGGGCGAAGGGAGGGGAGGAGGAGGAGGAGTGTGAGGCCCAGGAGACTGATGGCAGGAAGCCGACGGCCAAGGTTGCAGGTGATCTGGGGGGACAAGATGCGTGCGAGCAAGCTGAGTAGGGTAGGGGTACGGGTGATGGTTGTGGGGGAATGGTAGGGTGGGGGTGGATACGCAGGTGAGTCAACGATGTAGGGCTGGTCTCAGGGGGGGTAGGGGTCATCTGAATTGCCAGTACTACCCGGGTACTTTCCATCGATATTTTTGCGGGCTGGGGGAATGAGGGGATGGGGTGGGTCCTCATTTGAACACCAGCCGTGTAGGCCTTGAACACCAGTTGACGCTGGTGCCTGGCACTCCCGTTGAATGTGGCTGTAGGAGGGGGGTGGGGTAGGGGAGGGAGGGCAAGGGCTTTCAAGCATCTAGTAGTCTTCCTGCGAAAAGAAGGAATGTTGCAAGAGTTTAGATATTTAATACCATTCGCCGGACCATATCAACTCATTTGTGTGGGAGAGTAGGCCCGGATGCGCTGCTTTTTTAACCTTTCATCAGCCTGGAGTACCACGTAGGGGGTAGGGTGGGTCTAGGGCTAGGGTAGGGGTAGGGGTCAGGTTGGCAATGGCCGCGGGTGGCGGCCTCCTGTAGCTCATCAGTTGCCAATCTTGGGCCGTACCGGGGCCGAAGCGGAACTCAGTACGGTACTACCGTAGTACTAGGCTTTCAGTAAAAGAACTCGTTGAAGCGCTTCAAGGCGAGTCACTGCAGGCTGACTCTGAGCCTGAATAGCCAACCGTACTCGGTCTGAACGGTGTACCGCCTGGCCAGTCACGGGAGCAAGAAAGATGTCACTGGCCATAGAGCAGTGCTCTATGTATGAGAGGACTGACAGTGAGCACCGTCACTGAGCCTTTGCTGCCAGCGGCGACACTCCTCGCGGCCGCGGCCCCGGACTGACGCCGTTCCGGCCCGGCCAGGCCTCAGGCTCCCGGAGTCCGGCGGGCCCGGCCGGGTCACTGTTGCGGCCAGACGGTGAGTGCCAGTGGTGGCTGAGAGGCTCCGATCGCCGGGCGCCGCCGGCCGGGCCGGGCAGCCCGTGAGTCCGACGGTCGGAGGCTCAGTCGGGGGCACCGTGACTGCCCCCGACATCACCCGGCCTCGGACTCGGACTTGGCCGCTATAGGCTCGCAGGTCCAGCTGTACTACGGTAGTGGCGCGCTGGCAGCGTCGTCAGCGACGGAGCGTGCCCGGCGGCCGACCGCGAGGCTGTCGCCGCGCATACTGTGACAGCCTCTGGCAGGCCACTGATCGGATACCGTACGGTAGTATGCCGCATACCGTCTGCAGCCCGTTGAGACGGTCGTATCGTCACACGTACTCTACAGTACTGTGACCGTACTGACAGTCATCTACTGGTAATCGCCTGAACTTTGAGTAAAGCACCAGTAATCGCCCGAGAGTCTGGCTTAGCCGGCGGCGGCTGATCAGAATGATCGGACCCAGGCAATGCAAGGAGCCTTCGAATGATATGATGTAGAAGCCTTGGAATGATATGATGTAGAAGCCTTGGAATGATATGATGTAGAAGCCTTGGAATGATATGATGTAGAAGCCTTGGAATGATATGATGTAGAAGCCTTGGAATGATATGATGTAGAAGCCTTGGAATGATATGATGTAGAAGCCTTCTAATGATATGATGTAGAAGCCTTCTAATGATATGATGTAGAAGCCTTCTAATGATATGATGTAAGGAGCACGGTCAATCCCATGAGTTCATTTCTCCTTCTCTCATTCTTGTGACCTCACGACTCGTTGAAACTTCAACTCTCCCTCTGTCTCGCCGCAGAGCCCTCGGTCGATGCGATGAGTTCACACGAGGTGTTGACAACAGTGTGACTGATCAAAGAGAGGCCTGAGAACTTGAATTCCTTCTCGAATCACCAGACAAGACCAGATTGTTGGGAATGCGAAATCGTTCATGGAGTGAGAAATCAAGTTCAAATTTCAATGTCATAACAGAGAAATAATCAGTACAGGATGATATGAGGTATTGCAACTCCTGCTCACAGAGCAGTCTTTTTGTATCTTCACAAAACCATCTGACAGACAGGAAGCAAGAGTGCTGCGATCACCAAGTAGTCAGGAACAGTCGAAACCAGCAGCCAGGGCACGCCCAGGTCAAACACAAGGGGATACAGTCCTCGGAACGTGAGCCAGACCCAACCAAGTTGAGCAGCCGACTTGACGTTGATGAAGAGAGCATGCATCCATAACGCCACGAGGAAAGCTGTAGATTGTTCGAGCATGTTTCCCACCGTGCGATCGCCGTTCAATGCCAGATACTTGCTGCCTGCTGCGGAGTTGTACTTGACATCCATCAAGGAGGGAGGCTTAGTGTCTTTCTTACTGTCGTCCTTCATCTTCTTGTGCGCATAGAACTTGGTCCAGGACTGGTAGAAGAGGAAGGTATACAACAGCACCGCCCACCCTATGGTTACTCGAATCACAGGAGAAAGAGCTCGCAACGCATCAGTTCCCAGGAAGGAGGAGGAAGAGGAGGAGGAGGAGGAGGAGGAGGGATAGATATCTTGGATGGAGCTCGAGATCACATAGATCATCGCTACCGCCATCGCTCCGCATGAGCTCAAGGGCAGCCAACCCAACTGCATGGCGGGTCTTACGTGTGCAAGGATTGAGGCGGGCTCGAAGGACAGTTTGCTGGGTGCGTTCCTGTACGCGTACAGCACAGGATAAGGCTCAACTGCTCCCCGCTCCCCCCACGCCGCATCCCCCCACCCGCGCAAGTACACTCAACCTCCTCCTCCTTTTCCTCCTCCTCCTTTTCCTCCTCCTCATCCACCTTTTCTTTTCTCTTGCTGCCTCCTGTCCTACTCGAGCTGCTGCTGCTCCAGCCTCCGTTCAAGAATGGGAAAACAAGGTGAACTTAAAGCAGCACTGACTAGCTTTGAAAGCCCAATAGAGATTCAAATTCTGGAACAATCCAAACCAACTTCTAGGAAACAAGTCAAGCTCTCCAATTATGCTGTCAAGGAAATCGAGCGCATGGCTGAAGAGCAAAATCTCAAAGAGATATTAGACCATTTGAGGTGTCATCGCAAGATGAGGATCCAGTCCGGCCAACATAAGTCAATGGCTATCGAGATTGATGCTAGCGTGACTTTCCGATTCATAGCAGGTTTGTTCGACATTCGGTGTCCCTACTTCGCCCCGCAGGTTATCATAGTCTTGAATCTAATTCATTTGACATCTTCGTAGATCATCTACTTACAGCATGAGCGACATCGATTAAGAAGCCAGACAGCGTCAGAGGCACCTTGCTTTACATTGTGGTTTTGGAACACTCATTTTGTGAACGACTACTACTATGCGAACAGTCGATGGAACAGAATCGAGGAGACGTACATTCAAGTGAATTTCATTGACGGACCTCTCGTTCCCAAAGACTTCCTTGAACCAAGATGCTACTTTCACAGTCTAGATGGCAAAAATCAAAGAAGGAATGATCACAAACTCCAGCCTCTTTCTACCAAGTCCAACAAGACCTTGCCAGATCAAGTCTCCGTCGTGTTTGAGCCGCCAGACACACTGATCGTGAAAGCAAAAGATCGAGCCACAGTACAAGGCGGACGACAGCGAGCGCACATCTCATCCTACTCGCTCATAGCTAAGCGCATCACGCGAACCGTGAAACCCAAGTTGGAAGGAGCAGCAGTGACGTGCCAACTTTCAGCCTTGCGGGAGCTCATCGGCTGCATCTACGTCTGTCTTGGTGGAGATGATGATGAGAAAACTAATGCAGTTGACGGGAACAAGTTGAGATTCATCAACAGGATCCGCCAAATCTCCTGTGTGTCAAACTGTCTGCAACCAATCCTGACAGAGGTGACTTGGATTCTTCAGCAATATTTCAACAAGATACCTCAGATCACATGTTCGATGCTGCCTAAAGAAATGAGAGTGTACAATGTCACGTTGAAGAACTCTGAGAACATTGAAGAACACTTTGACTTTGTTGCAGCTCTGAAGGAATCCGAACGAGGTGGCAAGTTCGACTTGAACAAGTTCGTCTTCTTTCTGGCACGGCATATGTTTCTCTTTGGACTATCCGATGGAGAACAAACGCAATGGAATCTAAAAAAGATCAGTGAAAACTGTCAAGCGATTGTGACGCTATTCGAATACAAGGTAAAAGAGAAATATCAAGATCGTCCGAAGCTTGTAGCGGTAGCACAAAACTTCAAGACGAATCATCAAGCCAAACTGCAAGACGAGGTAATGTATGCATTTACTTCGATATTCACTGATCCAAAGCTTTTCTCAGGAAACATTAATGAAGATTTTGGATTCAATTGAACAATTGAATGAAGAAAAGAAGTCGTTCTTCGATGAGAACAAAGAAATATCTAAATTCTGGTCTCAAACCATCAAGATGCCTTTCAACGTGGCATTGGAACCGCAACAAGGCAAATATCCGCCCGTCCAAGACTTTCACCACCATCTTCATGTAAGTCGATCCAAACCTTTGAGCAGTTCCGCCCTTCGCCCTCCCTCCCTCCCTCCCCCCGATCGCCCAATCCCATTCCCTTGCCTCCATCTCATACAGCTCGCGAGTTGACGATATGTATTGTCTGCAGGGGCTCATGAATGAGATCGAGGAGGTGCGGCGGTTACTGGGGCAGGCGACGATCGACCAGGTGTCAATCGCCTGTCAGACTGATTGACCACTTGAGCTCCCAGCCCTACCATCTGCTTCAAAGCTGATTTTGACTTGCTGGATCATTAACAAATCAGCACTTGCCCCTCCTTCGACTCCTGCGCGCTGATGCAAATTCCCCCCAACCCCTTCCCCCTCCTCTTCCCCTCTTTGAGACTCAGGATACATGTATCTCCCCGCCTGCTATCAGTCAACGTCGAATGTACGCACAGATTTGCTGTCCCGTCGGGCCGCTAAGAACATGGCGAGCTGAGAAATCTTCAACGTACGGTCGTGGCGAGGCGGAGAAGGAATTTACAGCTGGAGTTGGCTTTTACTCCGTTGACCATACACGTACACACGACTTTGACCCAACCCTCACGCTACCAGATTGCCCGGCTGATCTTCGAACTCAGTGATCCCTCCATAACCTGCCCACACATGCCGTCAGACGAGTCGAGCTCGTGATGGAGTCGCTCACCGCCAGGATCGAGAGGACCAGCATTGTGAGTCCACCTGTAGAGGGTTTGAGGAGCCGACAGCGAGGAGGGAGCAGTTCTTACCATGATGTGCAGGAGGAGTGATCGTACTCCCACGAGTTGAGCAGCGGGCAGTGGCATGTCGTCGCTCCCATGCCTGCTCGCGTTGTTACAACAGAGCAGAGAGATCGGAGGGGAGGTGAAGTCACCATTGCTGCCGCTGGTGTAGCACTGGCACGTGTTGCAGCAGTAGTAGTTGCAACTGCAGGAGGGAAGAGGAAGAGGAAGAGGGAGGGAGGAGAGGAGGAGGAGAGGAAAAAAGTAGGATTACGATAGGGAAACTGATCAATGCTGGTCTCACCAGCCATAACATCCCCTATCCATCAACGTGAGCGCTCCCCAGGCACTTCCGCACGAGCATTCCTACAGGAGGTGTCAGGGCGGCGAGGTCGCCACCAGCCACTTACCAGGTAGCGCTCGCCCTCGTCGATGCTGCAGTCACAACCATCCTACAAGCACGGTTATCGCACACCGGCGCTGCTTCTGCGAGCACCTGTGAGGGGTCGTAGGACTCGATTTCCTGGTGCCACCCTGACGTCTGATCGTATCCGAAGGGATACCCGTAGTGAGGATGGTTCTCTCCCTCTGACAATGATTGTCCGTGTCGCCTGCACCCCCTCAGCTGCACCCCAGCTGTCCGGACGGAACTCACAGGTGTTGCACGAGGTGGCGGGCCAGCATGGAGTACATGGCTGGCGATTTCTTGGCGTACACGATATGGTCGAGCGTCTTCTCGAGCCGCTTCAAGCTCTCAGTCTTCACTCCCCTCGGCGCTCGCAGGTTCCGATACGACGCCTTGTCCTCGGCTGTCAGTCTACCCGTCAGCATCGGTGAATCACGACGTCAAGTCCTACGGTGAAACTGCGGGCGAACTTGCTTAAGCATGACGGACTTTTCTGTCGCTCCCGTTCGACTTGTTACGGTGCGCATAAGAAGAACTGTAGCGGGTCAGGCACATTCATTCCACCTCCATGCAGCTGCTCACCTGCCATGATCAGCCCCAGGGCTGCGACACACAATGCTGCTACCCCAGACGCTGAAGATCTCGTCATGAGAACATGTCCAAGGCGAGGAGAAAGAATCAGGAGAGAGGGCAACATCAGGACATGCATACAACATCCAAATACAGCAGTCAACCACAAGGCTAATAGAGTAGCGCTCAGGAGGGAGAGGAGAATAGTGGAAATGAAGGAGAGAAAGCGCGGGGAGGCAGCAGGAAAGAGAGGAGAGAGACATCAGACAGCAACCAACAAACAGGAGACAGGAGATAAGAGATAACATACAGGGAGGGGAAGGCGACATGGAGCGGAAGGAGACAGGGAGCGGAAGGAGACAGGGAGCGGAAGGAGACAGGGAGCGGAAGGAGACAGGGAGCGGAAGGAGACAGGGAGCGGAAGGAGACAGGGAGCGGAAGGAGACAGGGAGCGGAAGGAGACAGGGAGCGGAAGGAGACAGGGAGCGGAAGGAGACAGGGAGCGAAAGGAGACAGGGAGCGGAAGGAGACAGGGAGCGGAAGGAGACAGGGAGCGGAAGGAGACAGGGAGCGGAAGGAGACAGGGAGCAGGGAGACAGGGAGCAGGGAGAGGCTTCATGGCATCGATACCCTTCATGGCGTTGCGAGGAGTCAAAGCCCTCATCCCCTCACATTTGACATCAATTGATGTAACGGTCAATGTAACCGCTACTTTCCATCCCCGCGCTGACCCATCAGTCCGAGTCAAACATCAGTGCTGGTCAAACTCAGTGGTCAAACTCTACAATCGGCGCCACTGTTTCATGGCGGACGTTTCCTCAGCTCGGACATGGCGGCGCTGCCGTCAAGAGGAGTCGCACATGCCACTTGTCATGAGCTTCTAAGGGGATGCCGGCAGCGCGTAAGAGAGGAGCGCTGCTGCTGACTGCTCTGCTCCTTCTGTGGGCTCTAGTGCAGATTGCCTTCTGGTACTGGCTCCAAGGCAAAGGAAGCAGGGCGAGACGCGCTGTGCAAGTTCGAGTGGTGGAGGACAAGGCCATGGTGGAGATCGTCGGTCAATCGGAGGACGAGAAGGTCTGGTTCACCAGGGACGGCACCCAGCCCAATCCTTCCTCGTCCGAGGTCTACCATGGAGCCTTCTTGCTGCGGCAGGGCATATGGACGATTAGCGCTGCAGCATGGAGGGGAGGGAAGAGGGTGGGGCATGTGGTACGGACCAGGAGGATAGTGTGCAGGAGAGGGGAAAACTTTCTTGTGAGCTGCAGGGTGAGGAACTCTACAGGGCCTGCGAGCCTTTCCTGGAGGACATGCAGCCTGGAGCTGAACCGGCGGCTGCGAGAGGTGAAGGACGTGCTGGTGGAGGAGAACGTGACGATCCACTCGATCTCGGAGGAGAGGTAACGCAAGCGTACGAGGGAGGGGTCGCTGACATGCTTTTCCTCCGCAGGAAGCCGCGCATGCAGCTCAAGGTGGTGGGCTCGACTATGGATGAAGCATGCAGGACTGCGCTGTCCTCAGATTGGTCGGAGTGCCGCGGCCTCACTGGGTCGTCTTCTCCTCCTCCTCTCCCGCTCCTCGCCTTCCGCATCTCCTACGTCGCGAGCATCGAGTGCGGATTCATCGGGATGAGGATGAGGGACGGGGAGCTCGGCTATGGGGGGCTGCCGATGGACAGGAGCAGGTTCTTCCGGCACGATCCTTCTCTCCCCCTTCCTGTCTACGACGTGATGGAGGAGGAGGAGGAGGGAGGAGGCGGGAGGGCTCGTCTGCTCTCCTACGACGAGCTTGCGATGATTCCCCTTGCCGACATGCCAGGTGAAGACTCATGGCATCAGCTGCTCCCCAGGCTCCTATGGATGATGCACATCCTTCCAGCTACCGTCAAGTTCCTGCTGCCTCCTCCTCAAGGAGCCCTGCGGGACATCCTCTCCCTCCTCGCGCAGGAGAGCCTCCAGGAGCTCTTCGATGCCTCCCGCCTCGTCTTGTGGTCTCCAAACTTCTTCGTCGCCCAACGGCTCTACTTCTATGGGGAGTCTCCCTTCCTTCGCTCCTCATCCCCCCGAAAGAGACTTCCTCCTCCTCCTCCCCTCCTCCTCCGTAACTGCCGGGCGGTTCTCCGGAGCCTCCCTGGTCTCAGAGCCCTCGACTCCTACCTCCTCCTCGTCCCTCACGGCTACTTCGACTGGGACCCAGATAACCTGCAGCAGGCAGCTCTTGCCTTGTCTGTCTTCCTCCGGCGTGGTCCCATCCGCTACCGGGTGGTGGAGGAGGGGAGGGAGAGAATCGAGCTACCGCAGGACGGAGAGGGAGCTCAGTCCGAGGAGGGTAAAAACTTCCGTCCTCACTCTCCCCTCCTCTCCCTCCTCTCCCTCTTTGCCGAAGCTCGCGCCGTCATCGGCGTGCATGGCAGGATGCTCGGGTACATCCTCTGGTGCTCCCCGGGCACGAGCGTGATCGAGATCGGACCCTCTACCCAGCTGGCAAGCTACAAGGAGGAAGGGGAGCCGCAGGAGCTGCGGGGAAGGCCGTGGGACAGTCGCTATCATGAGCTAGCGGCGGCCCTCAACATCCGTTTCTCAATCCTCCCCGCAAGCTGGACGAACTCCTTCTCCTCCCTTCCTTCTTCCCTTCCGCCTCCCTCCTCCGCTCCCTCCTCCGCTCCTTCCTCCTTGCCGTCCTCCGTCGCCATCGACGTTCGTCTCCTCCTTCTATGGCTCGTCGATGAGTTCGAAGATGGGGAGTCTGAAGTCGTCCTGCCAATTAGCAGCCGAACTCTCTGCGAAGATCGCGGGATGAATCTTGCGCTGCGAGGCAGGACGAGGTCGTCGGGCGGGGAGGTCGGGCATGAGGGGGACAAGACTGTGGACGGAAAGCTGGAGACAGCATGGGAGACGTACGGGGACGATGACCACTGGATCGAAGTCGAGCTGCGTGAGAGGGGGAGTGCGTGCGGTGTGCTGGTGGAATGGGGCTCGACGCTTCCCAGCTCCTTTCGCGTCCTGCTCTCCACAGTAGGAGGGTGGCCGGAGAAGGAGCAGCAGGACGCGTCTCCCTTCGATCTAACCCGCGTGCGAGATCGTCTGTTGGAGAGGAGGAGCAGGGAGATCGGTCATCTGTTGCTGCTTCCTCCTACTGGAATTGACGATCAATACTCGCAGATGACCCGCTGAACGCGTCGCTGCTTGTCAGACGCTCCCTCCTGTCCTTGCAGGAATCTTCTCCTCCCCTGTGCTCGTTCACCTGCTCTCCGCTCCTCCGCTTCTTCCTTGCGAGGAATGGGTGAGAATCTTTCCCTTCCTGCTGACCTCGTCTCCCTGCTCTTGTGGACTCGCAACCTGTCTTGTGCCCCTCCGCTTGTCTGACTTTCTCACTTCCCTCCCTCATCTTCCTTCACAGCATCAAGGCAAACTCGACAGAAGACTGCAGGCACTCAAAGCTCTGTGCACTCAGATGTGAAGGAAGCGGGGAAGGTCGAGGATGCGTTTGTACCTGGCAGGAGCAGCTGTACAGATCACCAGAGCGATTGCGCCCTGTCAACCTGACGGAGAGGTAGAAGAAGACAGTGAGATGTTAATGCGAGTTCAAGTGATGTGATGCTGAGATTCTTGAAGTTGTAGGGAGTATGAAAGAGGAAGGTGGGGAAAGGAAAGCGAGAAGAGGAGAGGGGGTGAAGTAGGTAGAAGTTTTGAGAGGAGTTAGATGGAGACGAGAAGAGGAGGAGTGGAGGTAGTTGACTCCTGCTGTCAGGGTCTGGAAGGAAGCGTACACGTCAAACAAACTTGATGCCTCATCGTCGACATGGGATGACAGGATGTACATCTTCAACGAGAGAATCCTCACAGACAAGTTCAAGCTGCTCCTCACAAGGTCTCCTCCTCCTTCTCCTCCTTCAAAGTCTAATCCCTCATCGCTGTCGCTGACTTGTCCTCTCCTGTTGCGCTGACTTCCTTCCACCGCAGTCAAATTGGTGTCGAAGTCCGCGAGATCTGCCTGCTCTCATGCTAAAAAGATCCTACGACCACCACCATCTCCTCCTCCACCTCCTCTTCCTCCTGCTTGCATTTTGGCATTTGCTCGTTTCACTTCATGCTTAAATTTCACGCAAGTGACGCTGCTCGAGCAGCTGGCGCTCAACAAGCAAGCCGCTCCCCTCCAGGACTTCTGTTCCTCCGGCTCTTCTTCCCCTTGTCCTTCTGGGGAGCAGGCGCGCTACGCCTTCTCCGTCACTGTTTCACTCTCCAGCAGATGTCGTCTCCTCTCCTCTCCTCTCCTTCCCTTCCGTGAGACCCTCACCGCCTTTCTCGCAATGGCCTCCTCGACCAGCACGCTCCTCCTCGTCTCCTCAAAAAATACTTTCGAGCCCTCAAGCTCCTGCGTCAGAACGCGGTCGTGGCAGGGCAGTGAGAGAAGAGATAGTCATAATTGCCCACGTCCATGTCCCCATCGCAAACGTCCACGTCACCCTCGCCCAAACTGTCCAGCACAACATCAGCTGCCTTCCTCCACCTGTTGCCTCCTCACCTGCTCCAAACATGCTCGGGTTCATCGTGACTGTCCGCTATGCCCTTCTCCTTCTTGATGATCGAGCCACCATCGACTAGTTCTGAACGTTCGTTATCCCAAAACCCTCAGCTCAGCCTCGCACCTCTTCGCTTCGCCTCCTCCGGTCTTGACGAGGGGCCCAAACTCCTCGCCAGCTCCTCTCTCAAGTCTTCTGAGGGTGAACTGCGAGACTTATGAGACGGGCCAACCACTCCAGTCATGCCTCACCCATGCTTGCTCATGTGTAGCTCGTAGAACCCGCTCTGCTCCTGTACGTCCAGTCAATCTCTGCGTCCTTTCCTGACTGCAGCGTGTCACCTTCCTATCCGAAGACATATAATAGAGATCGTCCTCAAAGCCGTCTTTCATCGCGTTCTGTCGCTGCTCATGCATTGAGAAGAGGCAAGAACGGCCCTGAACAACTCACCAGATACTCATCGTATTTGTCAAAGCACTGCTCAAGGATCTGCCGGAGATGAGCTGGGATCTCCTGCCCTTCGCACGGAAGTCCTCGGGCCTTGCGTATCAGCTTGTTGCTCAGCCATCGGAAGCCAGCCGAGAGAGCAGCTTCTGCTCCTTCCAGCTTCATGGCAGACGTCTGCAGCAACCCATCCACAGTCTTCTGCATCCCAGCCATCTCCGAGTCGGACTGCGATGACGTCATACAAAAGGCTTCATGGCTATCGTCAACCTGGCGGAGCTCACGGAGCAGTTTTTCTCTTTCGTAAATGAGCGACATGTTGAGAGATCTATATGTGTTTTGAGCCAACGACTTGAATAACCCTTGTGAGAATACCTCAAAGATGCATTCTCTTCCATGAGGTGATGTACATGTCTCTGCGATTCTTCCTCATCCATCAGCTTGCCTGTTGTCGCCTATACACAAAGTGAGTCTTAATGTCGATCGTCCCATCTAAGTTCACCTGGACCTCCTCCTCCTGCTCCCACTCCTCTTCCTCCAACACAATCGCAGCCACAGGATTCCCTGTAGAGCTCTCCGATGGCTGATCACGAGTGCTTTAGAAGCACATCGCATCACATCTAGAAGTAGTTCACCATTGGCGATTGCCAGGACATGGAAGAATTCTGAGTTGAAGGAGCTGCGGACATTCCTGGCAGGTACGCCCCCCCCATCCCAGGCTTCGACTTGCATGTCTTCTTCGGCTTCCTGGCGAGCTGAGAGGGGAGACTGACAGAACTGATTGAGGATACGGGAGTGGAAACTTCCACATTCCCTGCAGAAAGTGAGAAGGCAAAGCAAGGAATGGCTCCCTTGTACCATTGCCCGGAAGCTCGACAGGATCAGACGGGTTCGATCTCTTGTGCCCTCGAGGCCTGGAGCGACAGTCAGATTTTCAACTCCAATCTAGCTGAAGCCTTTTACCTCCCAGGTCCTGCTGGCCTAGATGGTCTTCTCACGTTGTCCCACTCTTCCCGAAAATCCGCGATACGCTGCGGGTTGCCACAAGGTCACAGGTCGAACCACCCAGTCAGTCTCTCACCTGTCTGATGCGGTCCAGACGCTCTTGCGAGACTCCAAGACCTCGCAGAACCGTTTCACACATGCGGCGATCCTCCCCATTAGAGATCGTGTCTCGCCAACGCGCTCTACGGAATCCATACCCCGGATTTCCGGGCTTTGCAGCCAAGTTAGCGCCCCGTCCACACCATGAGACAGTCATGATTCGCACACCTTAGCACGCACGGCAGGCACACGACGACTTTGCTCCTTGTCATAGATCTCATATCCAATCTTGTTGAATTGAAGACGCATCAGGCCATTCTTGCCAGCTGCGATATGATTAGCACAAACTTCGACTGCGGCCTCTGACAAAAGACATCAGCATCAACCTGAGTTTCCATCTCGATCTTTGTCATTGGCATACTCCGGGAAAAGCTCAGAGAACAAATGAAACACAGAGAGCTTCTGATCCACTCCATCCTCCTGGGACGAACGATCATGTAGTGTCCACGTCAGTGTGAAATTCATCTACCTGTGGAAGAATATCTTCATTGTCGTCTGAGAGCTTCGTCGCGGCCTGAAAAAATGCACGAGCAACTTGCACGGCTCTGCATTCCTCATTCGCGTGGTTCGGCATCCTAGCTGTATCTGCGTGGGTCTCGTATGTTGTGCTTATGATAAGAGTCTCAACAAGCTTGCCGATCAATTAAAGATTCGGATTCACTCGTTCACGTGAAGTGAACACTGGATATTGGTTCTATCCAGGTCTAGTATCGATGCCAGGTTTGGATGCAAAGATAAGCGGCTAAAGTGAGTCTGGGAGTCGGTGACAACCTGGCGGCCTCCTACACGGCAGAGGTGCAAATACGTCCGTGGAGGAGGCGAGAGCCGCTTCCGGCTCAGGACAAGGAGGAGTCGGAGAAAGAAGCAGCAGCAAGAGGTTGGAGGAGAGGAAGGGAGGAAGAGGTCAGCTGTGCGGGAGAGCAGGAGGGAGCAGCCACCTCAACCGCCGCCGCCAGCATGGCCGCCGGGAACGCGAAGATGGACCGTGACAATGGGGTAGGGTGGGGTTTGTGGATGCCAAGTAGTCTTGTTTGATACGGTATGATTGGTCAAAAAGAGGGGTAGTCAGAATTTAGGGAGGGTGGTCTGCCAGGGTGAGAGTGGGTGGGGGGGATTTTAGCTGTCCCTGGAGCGAGTTGGGGTGGTATTTGGACAATAGGGGGTGATGTGAAGCCAAAAGGGTGGGTGGTCGGAGTACGGAAGCTCTCGGGATGGGGTACAAGTCTTAGCAAAGGGGTGGTGATATAGGAAGGGGTAGCCACCCTCCCCATCCTGCTTGAACGGTCCAGGGTACAAAGAGAGGGTGCAGAGGAAGTTCTGAAACACAGGGGGTGGGGTATGTGATTCTATGTGTCCAAAGGGGTGATTTGAAGGGGATTTCTCCGGGTGGGTCCTGGATCCCCAGGGGTTTGAAAGAATGCAGAGGTAGGGTGGAATACGCGGCAGAGACATGGTAGGGTAGATTGTTTTGATGGGTAGGGTGGGGAGAACACAAGCTGAGGGATAGGGATTGAGGTCTGGCCTACTTACTTAATGCAGGACCTTGAGAATGAGAGCAGGCAAGGGCCATGGGTAGAGAGTTTGCTCACAACGAATTGATGATGGGTAGGGGGTGAGGGGTAGCAATGATTCACAGGGGTAGGGTCCTGGCCGAGATGTGGGGTGGCCATGTCACTGCGTTTGCAGGAAGTGATCAGGTAGGTGGGACAGGGGTTCTCGCTGGTTTTCCATGGGGTAGTGCATGATCTTTGTAGGGTGGTCAGAGGGTGGTCCAAGGACTTTGAGGGGTGGATTGTCTAGAATAGGGCGTAATAGCGGGGGGCTTTGAAGACCCGGTGGTTTGAGAAAAGGGGGGTACAGAGATGATTTAGGGAGGAGTGTGGAGGACATCATGAGAACAAGTGAATAATTTCTTATGATCTGAATTGGGAAATCGGATATGTAGAGCTATGTTGAATTCAACCTGAAAAAATAGGTAGGGAGGGAGTGGGGTGAAGGGGTTGATAGACGGTGTAAAATAATTAGTCGACAGACTACCACCCATGAAGTACCCGACCCGTCCACATGGAAGTTGGCCTCCTTTTGTCTACCCCCACCCCTACGATTCTCAATCCACCGGTTCAAATCCACAAATTCACCCTACCTTATCTCTAAAAATGTGTACCACCTATGGATGGGTACCCCCGTGGTAGAGAATTTTGTTTACCACCCACCTTTCCAAGCTCAAACAGACGATCAAATACCCACTCTCCACTGGTAAGTACCCCACCCTCACCCATCAACAAGCTCTGCAATCTTCTGACCTCTTCAGAACCTAGCGGTCGACCTGTGCCATTCAGTGTGGCGCCTTCAAGTCAGATAGTTGAGGTCCCTGTCACGCTTCCCCACAACCCCCCACCCCCTTGAATTTTAAAATCCTTTACCCCTGATGAAGATTAATTCGAGTTAGTGGGGTGGGGTTCAAAGAAGCTTGTTTATAACACTTGTATATAGCCCCAAATCAACGCTTCAGTGTTTTCATGGACAGCGCTTTTAAAAAAAGTTTCAAAAAGCGCTATTTCGATTAAAATGGGTCACATCTTGAGTTGTCAGGGCGAAAAATAGATGCGACTCCGAGAGCGAAGCCTAAATGTAAATCTGAGGCGCGCCTGGTAGAGGCATTGGCGGGCTAAAAGAGATCTGAGGCGCGCCTGGTAGAGGCATTGGCGGGCTAAAAGAGATGGTGGCGGTGGGGTTCGAACCCACGCCTTCATACGAAGAAGAGAACTTGAGTCTCCCGCCTTAGACCGCTCGGCCACGCCACCGCAAGAAAACCGTGAGTGTGAGAGTTGATAAAGTTAGAAATCATGGCGACGATTGCAAACACGATGATGATACGACATGAGGCTCAAGACGATGATACGACATGAGATAGAAGAATGATCATCATATGCATGTAGTAGGGAAGTTGCATGATAATGAGTTGAAGGTAGCAAGTCTCGTCCAAAAGGCTGAGGGTAAAGTTGAAACGACCAATCTTCTTGACAGAACGAAAATGAAAAGAAAACGTGCAAGAGGCTGTTTAGTTCGTGCTCTTACACATGAATGTATAGTTCTCAATCTTGCACCAGCTTTGCTGCAAAGGAGATGACCTGAAGGTCTTGTCCTCTGAGTGAAAGATCATTCCCCCAGTCCTCTCTCAGCCTCGTAAAGGAGACCATCTGCCCGAATACTCACAGGCAGCAGCTCAGCCCTCAGTCTCCTCTCCTTACCTCAAACCCCATCGCCATCAAAACCTGTAAACGTTGTTACACACTGGCATGCAAAAACGTTGCTTGATGACATGCGTTACAAGATTGCTACATCTCCCTCCAACTCTTGCTGCCTCGCAGTGCGTATATCCCTCTCCTCTACCTTGACTCGTTCATCTTCATCTATCCACTTCTCCTCTGCTCGTCCTGCATCTTGCTAGGCAGGATCCATTCAACATATCCACGTCCTCCTCTTACCTGTGTCAGTTCTTCCTCGTCAAGCAGTATGGTGGAGTGAGGATGGTAGAGCAGCGGTCCCACATTGATCCAGCTCCCTCCCCTGCTCTCTTCGTCATGCTGTTTGCCGCCTCTTTCAGCCCCACCAACCTCTTGAGCACGCTCTTGATGACCATCATGACATCCGTCGCATCCTCAGTGGCATCGAGGAAGAAGGAGGTCACAACAGCGTCGAAGCCTCCGCTGAAGCTGAGCAGCTCGTCACTGTCCTCTTCCTTCCGTCTGCTACTACCGCGCATGACGATATGTGGAGACGAACTCTCCTAACCGCAAGCGCAACGTCCCTGCTCCAGCTCCCCCTCCTGCCCAAGGGTTAGCTCTTTGTCATGCCCTGATCTTGTCGTCGCCTCTTCCTCGCAGCTCTTCCACATCGGGCAAGAGCACCTTGCGCGTCTTTTGCTTCAAGCTCCATCCCCATGCCTATTCTCGCGCCTCCATCAGTGCAGGGAAGGACAAGAAGAGGAGGATGTACCGCTGGAACCAGCAGGTGAGGACACATGCTGCCGTATCGTCAGATCAGATCGCAACAGACTAACAGTTACCATGATGAAGCCCGATCATCTTGTTGCTCTGCCTCCTCCTCCTCCTGCACCTGCACCTCCTCCTGTTCCTGCCTTTCTCCCTCTTGCCCGAAATCGTGCTTGCTGAAGGCAGCGATGTCGCTCCTTCCTCTGTTCTCCATTTCTTGGACTCGGTTTATCATCGACCTGGCAGCCTTGTCTAGCATCAGATCTGGCCTTTCCTTTCCCACATCATCATCTCCACCATCATCTCCACCATCATCTCCACCATAACCACCATCTCCATCGCCTCCATCATCATCTCCACCATCATCTTCATCATCATCATCATCATCATCATCATCATCATCATCATCATCATCATCATCATCATCATCATCAT